CTCCCCTTCGCCCCCATTCCCACCCGCCCTCCTTCTCCACTCTACCTTTCCTCTTTTTCATCTTCCTCTCCCCTCCCTACTCCTCCCGTCTCCTCTCCTCTTTTTCGTCTTCCTCTCCTCTTTCTCCCCCCCTTTCCCTCTCTCCTCTCAACTCTCTGATCTCTTCTCTCCTCTCCCCCTCTTCTCCCTTCCTCTTTAACCCTCTTTCAATCCCCTCCCCATCTCCCCAATCCCCTCCCCTCTGCCCTCTCCTTTTCCCCTCACCCTATCAATACCCCTATCTCCCCTACCCTCTCCCCTATTCCTTCTCCTCTCTTCCATCTTCCCTCTTCTCTCTTCCCTCTTCCCCCTTCCCCTCCCTCTCCGCTCCCCTCATCCTCTTCCCTCCCATCTCTTCTCCCAATTTGTTTCTCCCTTCTTAATTCCCCCCCTCTGCCCTCACTTCTGAAGCCCCATCTTTGATAGCAATTCTCACTTTCCTTCATGATTCGTTTCTTTTGCTGCCCGTTTCCTCCGTAACTCACCACTATCCCCCTCCTTCCCTTTCCCCCTTCCCCCTACCCTTTGCAGCTGGTACATGCTGACGTCATCCCATGCAAAGAGGCGCACGGGGGAAGAAGGACGGCCCATTGCCATCCACCCCTCGCATCACAACACACCCACCTCCCACTCAATCCAGAGCACAGCCCTCGAAATCAGACAGCCTTGCACTCATAACCTTGCCCATGGTGCGCTTGCTGCTGCTTCTCCTGATGCTCCTGCTCCTGCTGCTCCTGCTGCTCCTCCTGCTGCTCCTGCTGCTGCAGCTGCTCCTGCTCCTCCTCCTCCTGCTGCTGCTCCTGCCCCTGCTCCTGTTGCTCCCGCTCCTGCTTCTGCTTCTGCTGCTCTTGCCTCCGCTCCTGTAGCTCCCGCTCCTGCTCCTACTGCTGCTGCTCCTGCCCTTGCTCCTGTTGCTCCTGCTCCTGCTCCTACTGCTGCTGCTGCTCCTGATCTTGCTCCTGCTGCTCCTGCTGCTCCTCCTGCTGCTCCTGCTGCTGCTCCTCCTGGCCCATACCAATCATACCCATCATGCCCATCCTACCCACACTACCCATCATGCCCACCCTACCCACACTACCCACCCTACCCACCATACCCAGCCTACCCACCCTACCCTTCATACCCCCCGGTGGACTGGGCCCCTCCCATCGTAACCCCCGCCACCACGCATCCTGTCTCATCATCAGACGAGTCGATCGGAAGCTGCTTCGCAGGCTCCTCCCCGCGGCCAAGCACCCCCGGGATGCTAAGGGGAGTGCTGCTGAGAACCCTCTCCGTTGGCAGCCCCTGCAGCAGTGCTCCTCCCACGCCCATGGTGCACGACGAGGCGACTCATAGGCTGGCACTGGCTTCCCCTAGGCCCATGGGGCATGATGAGGTGACTGAGGGGATGGCACCTGGTCCTGGCCCCATGGCGCATGGTGAGGTGACTCAAAAGCTGGCACTGGTTTCCGAGCGTATGGAGGGGAATCCTCTGGTCATGGTACAGGGCGAGGCTCCTGTACCCACGGGTTGTGGTCAGGCTTCCCATGGGACGGCTCTTGCGCCTGCACCCATGTCGGGAGCTCCTAGGCTGCAAGCACCCATCACGCATGCACCCCTTCTGCAGGCACCCGCGGGGCAGCAGTCTTCTCGCCAAAGGCCACAGGTGCAACTGCTTCAGATGCCATCTATGGAACGGCTGTGCCAGGAGCTGCATGCGAGGAGGCATCCCCTGCAAAGGGATTCCACTGGGAGCTCTGAAAAAGCTGGCTCGCTGGATTCGGTCGACATTGACATCTGTGTGGTGGATGAGGAGGAGGATGATGAGCATGAGACGTGCGATCAAGTGGGAGAGAAGTTGGATGGGCCCTCATTATTGGATGGATCCTCACCGTTGGATGGATCATCACCGTTGGATGGATCCTCACCGTTGGACGGATCCTCACTGTTGGATACCCTATCCCCATTGGATAGTTCCTCACCGTTGGATGCACCCTCATCGTTGGGTGGGTCCTCTGGTATGGGTGGGCCCTCACCATTGGATGGGCCCGCAATTCTTCAAGTGTGTGCTTATAACGAAGACAAGGGGGTTCAAGGTGAAGTGTATAGAAATTGGTGGGATGACCTCTTCCCAGAGATGGTGGATGAGGATTTAGTAGCGGCGATGCAAGGTTGATGACATTCAAATGAGTGCCAACCTTGCTACAGCATTGTGCCGTTTATTGTTATGTACCTATTTTTGCTGTATGAAGCTAACCATAACCACCTAATGATTGTGCTACCTGGTTTTCTGTGTTGAGTGTTGTTAAGGTGCTCTTACCGTATGTCCTCAGGAAAAAATTACGCTGAACTCTTTTATTGCCTAAGGTGGGCCAAAGTCACATCCAATCCAGACCACCTCCAGAATGGGCAATAGCAGCGAGACCTACACACATACGGTACTACGGTACTCTTTAGAAGACACTGCCTTAACTCGTACACACCTACAGGTGTTTTATAATCAGGAACACCCATTTATAAGGGACACCCGTTTTAAATACACCCCTGTCTTCTATTCAACACTGTCTTATATCCGGGTGATGATAGCTACAAATGGAAAATTAAGAAAGAACATTGTGCACTCCTGACAGCAGCAAGCGAAGCACGCAGTACCGAGGATGGAGACGAAGAGTCAGACATGACTCGAAGCGACGCGAACGGTTGGAAATGATCTGGATCGTCGGCATCGAATGACATCGGCAGCTGCAGAAGGAAGGAAAAGCGCGGGAACAGTTTCATAACTGTACGCGCCGCACGGTTGGGTTTGAATTCGAATAAGGGAATGTACCCCTTAGAGTACATGGCTAGCTAGGACGCTTGGTATTCCCCTGTACTATTATTTATATGCCTGTATCTACATATTTAAAATCATCTCAATCATTTTACATTCACTCTGATTCGAGGTCAAGGGTCCACCATTACTACGCACTCTGTGTGAACATTCCTGAGGCAATCCTGGTTACGCTCTAACTTCTGATCGAAACATGGTATGAGAGCGACTTAAGGATCCTTCGCAACGTCACCTCCAAAATCATCGGCGAATCAAAGTGGCGTCTGGCACATGCTCGCGCGTAAGAATGGTCGGTGGATCTGGAGGTCAGACGAATCTGATTGCTGAAGCACAGCCCAACCCAGCTGCGACAAACGAGGACATGACGACGATCGGAACCGCCGTCCTCACACAACTACTCCATCGACGTTCTACCTTGGAGCAAGGACTCCAAGTATTGCGGAATGGCGACGCGGGAACATCTTCCCAACCCTCTCAACCGGCCCCAACTGGCCGCGATACCGCTCCGCACACCTTCTCCCTCGAAACGAATGGCTCAACTCCCAAAAGTTCCCGTCCCAGCGAAAAAACAATTCTCTCAGCTCAATCAAGGTTCCTGAGCATATCAAAAATAAAGACAAGTGTGTGTTTTGACGGCAGAGACTTCTATACGTGGAGCTTCGAGCTGGAGCTGCTGCTGCAAAACGCACAGATATTTCATTACTTCGACGGGAGCTACGAGTGACCTACCGAAGACAGCGCAGACGCCAGGGCGCAATACTACAACGAGTCATTAATGGCGTACGGCGTCTTGCTGCGCAACAAGTAGCCGACGGAACAGCTAAGCATCCGATCGTACAAGACCATAGGTGCTCCAGCCGTTGACGCCTGGCGACGCCTAAACGGTATCTATCAACCGAAAGATTCGGTTTCTTCGAGCCGCCTGCTCCAGCAGCTACTGGAGACGAAAATGGCCCCAGGGGAGAAGGCCAACAGCTACATCAACCGCTGTCGGAGCTTACGCGATCAAATCGCAAAAGTAGGGAGCACCATCTCTAAAAAAATCTTTGTGAGCATTGTGCTCCAAGGGCTCGGCCCAGAGTGGCGACCTTGTAAGGCGCTACTCCGACAGCAGGGGGTTATCTCGGAAGCCACCCTATGCGCCGCCCTTCTCGTTGAACAAAGAGACATGGACCAACAACGACCAGCGCCACGATGAGACTGGGAACGCCTCGCCTTCTATGCGGACAACACCGAAGAGCGACGGTGGCGACACCTTTACTGCAAAACCTGCAGAACGTTCGGGCACTTGGCAGAGCGATGCAAATTCCGATCTCGCCCTCGCCAGACCAATCCGAGCACCGGGTCCGGCCGACAAGACGCATGGTGTGACACGCGTCAAGCTCAGGGGTATCAACCCCCATCGCGCAACCTGAACCCAACGGTTCAGCATCAGCAGCAGCAACAGCCGTAACAGCCTGCTCACGCTCGCAACGTCATTGGCAACATGACCATGACAAGCGGATCTCGCCGTCGCCGCGTGCGTATGCCGTAACCCGAGCCAGCACGCCACCCAGTCGGAGCATTCACGGACAAAAATCCGTTCACCACTCGCCAGGACTTCAGCGATGACAACAACCAGGACTGGAATCTTCTAGTTCCCTGCTTAAGAGCCCCCCGCACATACCTGATTCCCGGGCGGCACCGATTGATTGGCTCTCGCGCGAGCAATTATTAAAGTTCGACACTCCGCACATCGTCACGCCGCGATTGGCGCTGCTCGCACGTGACGACAACAAGCGCTACAACACTTAGTACCTGGACAGCTGTTGCGGGCAGCACATGGTCGGATCCGAGCGTTTCGTCTCCAACGTCGTCTCGACCCCCACGGTCACTTACATCACCGTGGCGAACAATACCCGCCTGTGCGCAAGCGCACAAGGAATCGTCATGCTCAAGGCACACGGAAGCTACACACACATCAGTCGGAATGATATGCTCATAGTCCAGAACCTGCGCTTCAATCTTCTCTCCACAGCTCAACTAATGGATTGCGACGTCGAATTAAGCACGGACCCACGCACGCGGGACATCCTCCTGCACTACTCGTCGCCGACAAAAGCGCGTAGGCAGATCGGACGAGCACACTCCGAAAATGGAGTGTACTTTCTCGACTTTGATATTCCCGACTACAGCAGCGACTCGAAGGAGCTAATCGACCTCGTTTCACTGCGCTTCAAGCACATCCATCGCTCAGAGTGGAAACATCCCGACGAAAGGCCGTGGGTGCCACATCACCCACACCCGCGCAAGTTGGCGCTGCATAACCCTGACCCAGATGGAATCTGCAGGGACTGCCATACGCCCACCGCTTCAACCAGCGCAATCGCCGGCCGTGGGCTTGCCGCCATCGCTGACGCTGAACGATCCGCGCCGCCAGAAGAAGGAATGTCGGCGCTGGAGCTGGAAGTAACTACTCAGCTCGTTTTTGGCCCCGACCAGAACCCCCTTTTGGGCCCACCATATCAGTGGCTCGACGGAATCGTTCGCGGACAACACCGCGGCACCTTCGACGCGCCCGGCGTGGCGCGCCCTTACACAAAAGAGGAGTTCATAAAGGTCTATCCCCACTAGCACGACCGCGCGACGAACCTCACTGTCGCGGAAGAAGAGGAGTTGGCAAGCCGCGAAGCCAAAGACGAGCTTTGGCACCAGCGCCTCGGTCACCCTCGCGCGTGATGCTGAAAACTGCATCGACACAGGCGTATTCACACCTGGAGCTCTCCTACACCCTGACGGCTCCGAAATGAGGAGCACGTCACAGCCGCACACCTGCACCGTATGCCCCAAAGTTGCGCTATGCCACCAACCATTCCCCCTACTGGAGCCGGGAACCAACCGTTACCCAAAGCTGCATAAGGTGTACAGCGATTTCCTCGTCGTCGACCACTGCGGGCTTAACGACGAGCACTACACACTGACGTTCGTTGACACGGGAACCTTCTACATGTGGGTAGTCAATGTTGAAGCTCAAAGCAGGGCGTACGAAGTTTTCTGCCTCTGGCTGGCGCACGCGCAGCGGCAATCTGGGAAGAAGCTGAAGATCTGGCAGTTGGACGGTGCGGCGGAATTCCGCAGGAAGAAGCTGCAGGACTATTTAAAAGGCGCAAAAGGGGATCGAGCACCACATCTCTCTCCCCTACGCACACCCGCAGCAAGGCGTTGCTGAGCGCACAAACCGCATGCTCATGACGAAGGTGCGGGCACTACTAAAACAGTCAAAACTCTCGGCGACGTACTGGACCTACGCGATGCACCACGCAGTACGGGTGCACAACCTGCTATCTACCACCGCCATCACCGGTAACTTGTCCCCGCATCTGAAGTGGACGGGCACAAAGGGCGACACATCCATGCTCTGCGTGTGGGGATGCATGGTCTAGTACCGCCCGCCAACTTCGACCATTGGCAAATTCGCGAGGCGTGCGCGCTGGGGAATCCACCTCGGCATCAGCCACGAACATAAAGCGTGGCACATTCTGGATAACATCAGCCAAAAAATCACGAATGCGCGCGACATGATATTCTACGAGCGGCTCTTCCTCGAACAATTCCGCGAAGACGAGCGGACAAACGCGAATCGCGTTTACGCCAACGACGGGCACAACTACGCAACGCACGAGGACGAAGTCGCTGCAGCCATCCTTGAGCAAGACATCAGAGGCAAATTCACAAGGGGAGATCGCCACAGCGGGGACGATGACGATGAAGACCCCTCAGGAGAAGGAATCGGCGGAGCAGGAGGAAGCAGCAGAGGCGCAGCACCACCACTGCCACCTAAACTAGAAAGCGATGACGATGACGAACAGGAGGTCATCCCGCAGCATCGCCACGACAACACGCAGCTACTAGGGCTTCACGCCGCCACCTCAACAGTGCCACGAATCATCGAGCCCAAGAATCCGCGCCAAGCACTCACGGGATCACAGAGCAAGGAATGGCGCGAGGCAATGGACGCAGAAATCAGGGCGCTAGAATCCCGCGACACCTGGGTGTTAGTCGATCGCGCCGCAATCAAAGGGAGAAGGGTCCTCTCTAGCCGGCAAATGGGTCTTCCGCGTGAAGACCGCAGCGGACGGCACGATCGAGCACTTCAAGGCGCATTGGGTCGTGCGCGGCTACGATCAGAGGCACGGTATCGACTTCGACCAAACATTCGCGCCGGCCAGCCGTCACACACCTCCGTCAGAATTCTACTTGTCATCACTGCCGCGAGGCACTTGCCGCTCCGCCAAATTGATATGAAGAATGCATTCTTTTATGCGTTAGTAAATGCGGTGATTTACGTGGAGCAGCCGCACACTTAC